ATCAGAGCAAAATTTCCATAGGTAACTGTTTGTTGAATAAACTTAGGAAATCTGGTAATAAGACTGTGCTTGCCCTGACCACGACTGGAGTTTAATAAAGAAATATTTTTATGATTTTACTAAAAGAAATAAAATTTATTGAAAATCCAAGTAGACGTTTTTCAATTAAGACGTCTTTCATTACATATTTAAATTGAATCTTAGAATTAAATTTAATTATATTATACTTAAAAGATCAGATATACTTTATAGACCAACCTTGTTAACAAGAAATTACTACATACATAAGATTGTCATATATCTTTGGGTATTTCTTCGTGACAATTGGCTGATTTCTATTGAAAGTCGTTCAAATAGTTCTTAATCGTGTGTCCAAATTTATGAATTTATTATTAATTTATCTCAATGAATCGTATCGTTTCTGAACGGTCTATTTAAAAACTTACAATTTTCCGACTTTTACGTTATATACCTAGTAGTTTCATATTCTCAGTTTTGCTATGCTTTAAAATGAAAATGTGCGTATGTAAATTTAAAAAAAGCCATTCCATTTCTCACCGAAAATTCATGTTTACTAAGTAAGTACATATATACTAAATACGTTCTATCTATATCAAAATTATTTTAACAGTTACAATTTCAAGTTTTAAAAATGAATTTTAGAAGCATTAATATTGTAGAAAATAATATTATGTACCAAATCACTTCTCTGCAAGTAAAGGTCTCTTCCTAATTAAGTGGGTATCTCTATGGATTGCATTATATCATCTACCTTTGAGGTTTCACTAATAACATATATAAGGTGTGACTTTATAAAGTAGTTTGCTGAATGTCGTCGGAACTAGTTTAAGTTTGTTCATGAAACTTAGAAAGCAATCCTTACAAATTGGACATTGATATCATCAAGTGTATTGACGTAGAGACTATTCCTTAACCTTGCAGTTTACACTATTTTTGTATACGTAAACTTTTATTTATTTCTCATAAATTGGATAGTATTTCTGGTTCGACAAATTCAATTAAAATGCTAAACCGTACTTCTACTCTCTCGGATGTAAATGTTCCTTTTGACCGATGTTTACACCGGACTGAACTTTGTCCTGGGACCAATTTGTTCAAGTTTCTCATCAATCTGAAATGTGTAACCTTTCTCTTACATCTATCCAACTATGAAAATGACTGAAGAATGTTCTGAAGAAACAGAATAATTTTCAATAATAATATTGAGTTTTGAATAACCAAAAAAAAACGTAATAATTGTTGATTATAATTTACAATATGACATAATATAGTGGAATGAAGTTAAAAAAGCCAGCCTTCGTTTATAGATTTAAAATAATGATTTTCGAAATAAACTTTAATATTTTTTTGTACTTTAATTAAGGGAAAACTTGTCTCTAGACTCTAGAGTAAGTATGGCTTTAAGAACAGTAATTTGTAATAGTGTTTAAGTGGCTAAACCGAGCCAACGATAATAAATAAAATCATTTAATTTAAAAATGTTACGCAACATATTGCAGAATAAATGAACATCGCCGGGGCGACATCGTTGTATGGATAAAATATCATATAGCGAGTGACGCCGCTAACTCCGCGGAATAAACACCAAGCCGTGTGAACCAGAAGATTCCTGATACCACACAAGCTATGGAATGGTATTGCTATCCTAACATCGGGACAATCATGTAGTCTTAGGTGTAGATCATAAGCTTTAATATAATTCTTATTGTTATATACATACAAGTAAGTTTCGTAGTTTTCCTGGAGCCTTCGCTTGCCATCCTACATAATAATTAGAAATATGATTCTATTAAATATCTCTATCAAATTAAAATCTTGTTAAAACAAGCGAAGTTAGGTAATTCTTAACATTTATATCTCAAATTACGATTTAATCACCACCCTTGGTCCTTCTATGCCAGCCTTGCTAGAAGACCAAATAAATTTCAACGAAACACATTGAATTATAATTTTTAACCAATGAACGTGCAGAGAAAATCTCACAAGCCTGAATGTTTATGAACAAACCAATGAAATTCAAATGAGAATATAAAGACAAAAGTATATAAAATTAAAAGAAATAGTTTTTATAAGGATTTAAATGAAAATTAGCCCCTACGACTTGAATAAAAGCTATTTTGTTTGACCCATTGATGAATCTTCTGGTTATAAAATACGAATACTTGGTAAATTTAATAAACATTTCAAAAGATAGATTTTTTTATTAATACTTATGTAATAAATTTTGAAATTGAGCATAGCATTTGAGTTAAATATAGAATGGAGAGTTCATGAAGTAATTTGAGTTTGTGATAGAAAATTTTGAATTCTCATAAAAATAAAAATAGACTTGGACAAAAATTTGGCAATACATATTGTTAGAAATATTTGGGCAGCACTTCCACTTCGATATTAACTACTCCACAACTTGTAAACGAATACCCAGTCTAACACTTGTATAGTATTTATAATATTCGAAAGTAACATTTAAGTGAGGCTGGGTTATAATATTAGGCGCTAGTTCCCCTCATAAGAGTTTCCATTAAATAATAAAACACTTAATATTGTGTAAAACATGCTAAGGCTCTAATAATAAATTATAAAATCAATTGTTAAGTATTTGGATATTTAAATTACTGTACAGAAATATTATTAACAATAATTTGTAAATTTTACTATTAAAACGAATATAGATGGCGCTAGTTAACTATCATAAGAATGCCCAATAAATATTAGAATATAAATAACGTGAAGCTTAGAATTGTTAAGTAGACAAATATTTAAATCATTATAAATAATTATTACTAACACTATATAGGATTGTATTTGGAAATGGTTTTTATACTTGACCAAAAAAAAATTTTATATATTTTTTTATTTATATGTATATTCTTATAAAACTAATTCTAGGTACTTGAGTACAGTTAACTTCATGAATAGTCTTCTGTGTTTTTTTTTTCGGGTTAATACCCGAATGATGAATTATTATTATGAAGGGATTTCTTTTAGGTATACAGTAGGACCCCGATTATCCGGACCTCGGTTATCCGAATTCGCGATTATCCGGACTGCCAATCGCGACGAGTTTATTCTAACACTAGCTGACCCGGCAGACTTCGTACTGCCTCAATCAAGAAATAAATTATTTCTTAATTATTTTTTTGGAGTTTACCTTTAAGCCATAAATCGCCGTGTTCTAAAGTGCGACAGAATGATTGACATACATATTACATAGTTAGTTGTCAAATCTAATGATAAAAAACCCGTTTGTATGGGAAATAGAAACGCGCTGTTTTTAGGGTTTTCCCGGATTTTTTTTTTCAGCTTTTATACCTTCCCTGAGCCTCCACAAACATTTCTAAACTAAGATAAGATAAATCCGTTCAGCCGTTCTCGAGTTTTAGCGAGACTAAGGAACAGCAATCCATTTTTATATATATAGATAGATATATTAACATGTCAGAACTTGCATAACGCCACGCCACTTATAGCACTTATACGTACATTATGTACAATTTCTTAATAAACGTTGATTTTCGCTCATTTGTATTTGTTGTTTTAAATAAACACCTAACATTACATATGTATGGTACAGACTACATATGTACATATGCAAAAAGTCCGTTTTTCTTCATATATTGGATTATCCGGACTTTCAATTATCCGGATGCCTACCGACAACAATTAGTCCGGATAATCGAGGTCCTACTGTATATGAGACTTTAAAATTCACCATCAAACTACTAGAAATTTATTATAATATATAAGGTAATTATATTTCTTCTTGTCTTAAAATTAATACAGTTTTCTTTCACTTGTTCAAGGCCCTTTTTGGGTCCCAAAAATATATTCCACTGAAAATCATATCTGATATTTAAAAATAAATATTAACAAAATATACAATATATAATGGAAGCGATAACTTATATAGAACGCTGTACTTGTCATTTTTTATTTACACTTTTTACAATAGCTAAGACTAAAATCCTCTTGTATTTGTGCAAAGGACTTCATTATACAATCTTAAACAATGCTTGCTATAGTAAATAATATAAATGGCTTATAAATATTAAATTATTTTGATATGCATAAAAATATGTTTAATTCAAAGTAAATAAATACATTTGGTAAATATATTGAGAATTTATGTCAGCCTTTTGATTTGACTAGAAAATAAATGAATCGAGATCATTGGAATGCATCAAACATAAGCCTAATACTTTGTTTTTGTACCAAAAATATTTGTATATTACAAATTTAATATAAATAGGCATTTATAACAAAAATTCTAAATTGAAAATAATCAAGCTTTTCTATTACAATTCAAAAAAAAGAATTCCAATAAATACTTTTTGTTAACATTTTTTTTTTTCTAAAGCGAAGTCAACGTTTATAATCAATAACAAATACATATGATTCTAGGTGGCACTTCACTTGGCGTTGCGTATTCGCGTATTTGTTGTGTTCGGCCAAATAAGTCCATCTGTGGAGGATTTATTCGTCTTAACTTGACATATTTGAACAAATAAGACAAATACACAAATAAGCGAAAACGCCGATCCGGCCGCTTGTCGGTTTTTTATCACACATCCAAAAAAACAAATATGTAAAATATACCGTCCACATATAGCTCGCTCATTTGTGTGAGCGACAGCAGCGTGGAAAGACGTGTTCACTGCTTGCATATTCTTGCACAAAAATTTGCTGCTGCAGTCCAACGCGTCCATTGCTGGTTAAATTCAATTGTTTTAAACTACAAACATATTAATTTGGTCTTATTTGCTGTTGGCATGCCAAATGTGGATGTCGTGTTTGCGCTATTTGGAAAACGCACAAATATTTGGACAAATGCGTCGAATACGCAACGCCAAGTGAAGTGCCACCTTAACGGAATGAACCAAATTTTATTCTAAGTGTAAATAATATTATTTTCTTTGTAATATCATAGGAGTAAAACATGTTAATTGTGCATATACATACTTAAGGAATATAATCAATCCTCATCCAATACTTTGCAGTGTATGTTTAAAGTGCAGTAGTTTACTCAAATTTGTATGAACTAAATCCTCTGGGTTTGATATAACAAAATAGACCAAGCCCAGTATAGAGAGAACCGCTCGCCATATAGAGAAGTGGGTCCATGTGTGGTAGAATGTCGGTATTGTTGGCTGTAAGGAAAATTATCAATATTAAATTCCATATCTAATTGAATTGTAAGAAAATAGTACTCTAATAAAAAAAAAACATGTAGTAAATACATGTAAGTGCGTTATTGCTATAATTTTTTGCAGGCGTTTTTCAAAAATTACATATATAATGTTCATTCCTACATCTTTTATACCAAATTATACTCACAGTGGTAACATTTCCAGTGATATTTGCAACTAGTGGCGTATATTGGTACACCATGAGCTCATCATACATCCGGGCCGCCGTACAAACCAACAAACAAGATGTGTATAGTATAACTAATACTATCGGTTGGAACCAAGGCTGAAGGCCACGGGTTGTGTCTATACTGGTTATGTCCAATCTGTAAAAGATTTTAATAAATATTATTAATAATTGCATATGAAAAATTAGGAGTTATTACTGTATTTAACATTTGTGAATAGCGCCATCTATATCACGCAATCAGTCAAAGTTTCAAGTACTAAAAATACTAAACACTTATGTAAACTTAGTTATGAAACAAAATGAAAATCGAATACTCTTGTAGATAGCGAAAAGTAATTTAAGAATGTACTCAATATACTTGCTGAGTGTTAGCACAGTTAAACTACATTTCATTTTCTTTATTATTTACAAAAATCTTCGATTTAACATGATAATATAAATGAAGACGTATTAAACAAAAGTTTGATGATATAAACTCTGGCAAGAGTTTAGGACTTTGCATAAAGAACAGGGAAATAATTTGTAACTTTCAATTAAAAATTAGACTTAAGAATTGAAACATTCATAGTGTGTGGTGTATAATGTTACAAATTTCGCCACTAGATGGCAGCTACATCCATAGTAGAACAAACATTTCTTAAAGATTATTTTTCTAATTTATTATTACATTTGTCATGTAATTTATTCTTTATTAAAATACATGTAATGAAAATTGAATAGTAACCTACCTACTATATTATATAACAAAACCGAGAAAGCATAACTAATACACAACAATTACAACTCGTAATAATCCTTACCTATCCAAAACCGATAATAGGCATAGCACACAAAAGAAGTAGTAGCTAGCTACATAAGGCATCGTTACAACAGCATGAAACGATAAATGTCCAGCATCCAAGCTATCGGAATAGCTTATTAACAGCAAATGCATCAGAGAAATCCCTCCGAGTACCCCGTGGCAAGCTGGAGAGAAATTACGCCATGCTTTCTGAACGGTTATTGCCACATCCAATGGTGTTAAATCACCGAGACTGAAATACAAAATGTATAACTTGAATGCCGTAGCAATCTGACATTTTATATATGAGATAGTATAATAAATAAATCTTTATGTTAATGAACTGTTCCATAAAAAAGTATCTGTGTTCACATGGTACATTTGACAAATATTACCATAATTAATTATTGTATTTCACACATACAATGGTTGCTTAAATTTTACATTTTAAATGAAAATAATAATAATCATCAAGTGATTGATTGTATACTGAAATAATCTTTATTAGATTTCAGTATTGAAACAATATTTGATTAATTTATTTTGACATATTTATACATATAAATAAACATTTGAGTACATACTGTAAATATTTTTCCTCATCTCTTGACTGTTGGGACTCAAGTATTCTATCTCTCGACACAGCCCTGAAGGTTCCTCCGCCTTGAAGATAAATCTTCTCAGGTCGTCTCGACCCAAACGGATCTCTTCGTTCATCATTTGGTGATGTCAGTGGTGAAGGTGATGAGAACGGATTGTCAATATATTGATCATTGAATGGTACATTAGCTTCTAAGCTTTCTAACATCGCAGTGAGATCTGAGGGCCGAGCTGAAAAACATATATGTATCTGTTGATTTTTATGTACATGTATATTGTATTTTAGTACAAAGTATTAAATTATTAAAGAATTAAAATATGACTTCTAAGTCTTTGATAAATTGAATATTAGTTAATAGGAATAACAAATACCAGTTTTAGCAGCAATCTTCGACCGACCAGCACTCTTAAATACTTTCGGGCTCACATCCCGGCCATTTGCATTACTGTCATGTTGATCTCTGGCTTTCCGACGTGTTTTACGAGGCTTATGCCTCACTTCTCGAGGTGTTCCGTTGTTATTTTCGACGTCATTAGCTTCAATTTCCAACTCACCACTCAGAGTAACAACTTCATCTTTATTGTACTCCTTCAAATAATCATCAACCTGAAATATATGCAAAATTAATGTTTATTTTATAATTTATATACAAAACACATAATTATATAATAGTTTACCTTCTCCAGAGCTATTAAACTTGAACCTGGTATTTCAAAATCATGCAATTCCCTGTCTCTGTGTCTTGAGGAATGCCGTTTTTTCTTTCTGTATGATGGGCTTCGTTTCTCTTTATGACCACTGGAAGGTCTGGATAACGTCTTCATAAATTTCTCATCCAAGCCGTTAGGATCATGAGAATAGAATACGAACGATGGATTCTTATCAGACTTCTTAATTTCTTTCTCAACAAAACCTAATATTCCCATTTTAATTTGATCGTGTATTGGCAATTCCGTGTCCACCGATTCCTGCTCTGATTTATTCCAGTTTTCTCGGGATTTAGATTTATTTGAAGTCTCCTCCGTATGGATTTCGGTGTCTTCTTGGCTTGCATGACCATTCGAAAGTTTACGTGATCCCGGTCTGCTACGCGTATGTTCTTTGGTTTTTTGCTTTGGAGATGGCGAGCGAGCTGCAGTGTGAACTTCCACTATCTCCTCTCTGGTTTCAACGCTCTTTCCAGGCTTCATATTCAAATAAATTAACCCACACAATAATCAATAACAATTTCTATATTCGAGGAATTTATCGAAAATACTGAAATGTAATGCACCTCATAAATAAACTACTCATCTTTGTGTTGGTTTGTGTTTTAGTTTAATTCAGTTTTGGCTATTTTAATAATTAAATATAACACTACTTAAATTGAAAACAAAGGAAGAACTTAAATGTCAAATGCAACACACTAATGACGTCAATGTGACGTCATGCCTCATTCATACAAATTTTTCGTTTTACGCTCGGAACAATCACAATACTTATACATTAATATACTTTATTTTTCTTATAATATTAATAATCTTTAATAATAAAATTAAAATTTGCTATATAAACATATTGTTCATTCAAAAACAACAATCGATAAACAATTAATTTAGACGTTATAAATAAAAATTGGAGGTACATCCAAATCAACCCCATGTATTAACAGCAATTGCGCTCTAATTATATTAAAATTAATTATATAACGATACTTGTTAAGTCTTATAAAAATACGTTTGTTACTTCTTAAAGTACTATACTTACGATATATTATATAGAGTGACTACATACAAAAACTTATAATAACATTTAATTTTTTTTTTGTTTCGATGTTAATACTGTCAATATCACACAAGCTGTCAACATATGACAAGTGTCAACATCGATACCAATATTTTATCAATATGGCTAAGGTTTACTATATTTTACTAACATAAAAACCTTAAAGGTTTTTTGATGCCTTACCCATGGTTGGAGCTTGAGATGAAACATAGCCAAACTTGAGATATTAAAATAAAATTAACCAACATTATTACACCATATATTTTAATAAGTATCGAAGAAAGAAGAATAAAATCTAGCATTAATAACAAGGTTTATTTATTGTTTATCTTAAAAATTATTCACATTTAACATACGTGTAAATTAATAAATGTTTTATTCATATCCTACTAATATTATAAACGCAAAAGTTTATAAGTGTGATTGTATCTTTGTTAATCTTTCATGTAAAAATTTTAAATTACTGATTTTTATGAAATCTTCCAATAATGTAGCTTGCTAATCTTCTAATATTTCTGATGTCTGATGTTCTATGTTATTCCAAGTACATAGGTTATATAGAATTACATGTAATTCCTATAAAATTATAGGAATTACATGTAGTTCTAGCGTAATTAACACGTAACAGTTGTATTGTGTATGAAGTCTCATTACACACACTAGATGTCGCTGCCGGGTCGATACCATATGTACTGTTTTAACAGAATTTATAAGTACATTTCTTTCTAAGCGCTACATTAATGTTCACACTTTAAACGGACGGAGTCGAGATCAAAAACTAGTAATGTCTAACACAAACAAAACTGGTTGCACTTTTCATTTTTCATTTAACGATAGAAATTATTTAATAGTTACTATAAAAACTATTGGTGGTGTACTCGTTCGGAAGAAGGTTATTAAATAATCTAAATAACTAAAAAACTCTTCGTACCTATTTTAAAGTGTGTTAATGAGTTATATTTACATAATAATTGTTCTAAAAGATTTTTTCTTTCAACAACTACACTGGTGGGGTGTGTCTGTAAAAATATATTCTTTTTTAAATTACTAGTTTTATAAACGATAAATGATAATTGATATCATTATATTTCTTTCGTAACTGTAGTAGGATTCTTTTGATTTATGTTCATACTATGTGGCTTATAACTGGATAATTTGTTTACGCACCTACGCGTCTTCCATACAAACCGGTTTACTTAATCTGTACCACCATATCGTCATCAGCCTATCAGCGCCCACTGCTGAGCAAAGGCCTCTTTCTCACATGGAGAAGGTTTGAGCATTAATCACCACGCTTGCTCAAGACGGGTTGGTGACTTCAAACTTATAATTGTGAAACTATAAGTCCAGGTTTCCTCGAGATGTTTTCCTTCACCGTATGTCAGTGGTGTCTAAATAATCTCAGAAAGTACATATGACTAGGAAAAATCACATTGGTACTTGCCAGGTTTGAACCCGCGCCCTCGGCAACGAGAGACGGACCCTTTAACCACTAGGCCACCACTGACTTATGGAAAAACTTATATATTTTTTTTAATTACACAATGAACAGCGATACTGATTCCAAATAGTAGGTTTTTAAACAATGTGGATTTTGAATAATTTCTTTAACATAAATTTAAGCTTAATGACATAATCCTACTAAGAGGATCTGCGCAATGTGATATTTATGTTGTGGTGCAATAATGTAAATATTAGTTAATGTTACTAGTAATAAGGTCGTATCTTCTACCTGGCAATTTCCCAGCTTTAGCCAGGGTCTGGCTTGCATTTTGTGAATAGTTTTGGCTAATTGTTTTTACGATCGGCCGCCTGCCTGACATCAACCCTCTTTGGGAATGCATTAATCAGTTATGTCTAAATACTCTTACAAAGTACATATGACTCGGAAAAATCGCATTGGTATTTGCCAGGGCCAGGATCGAACCCGCGGCCTCATGCTTGAGAGGCGGGCCTTTTTACCACTAGGCCACTATTGACTTAATAATAAGGTCGTATATATTCAGAAACCCATAACATTGTATCTGTTACTGGTTCTTGTGTTTTATTTGTCAACCTATGTTTCCGAACGTTTAAACCATTTTGGTATTATAAAATTTTTGATGATTATATTAATAATTAATTATTGAGAATATATACACAAGTAAGTTGTAAAATGTATATGTTACTTAAAAAATAGCAACAATCTTCATATGAAAAATGAAATATTTCCCGCTTAATCTGACAGGTGCTTTTCTAGTTTACTGAGTATTTATGGACTGTTGCCATACCATTAGTAAGATATCCAGCCAATTAGAAATGTTATCCTAAAGAGGTCATTACTTTATATAATGTATAGACCTTTACCAGCGGCTGAAGCAGAATTAGCTATTAAGTTAACTTGCGAGACTCAGACTTAGACTTAAGTTAACTTGCGAGACTCAGACTCAGACTTAAGATTACGATCTATACAACCAAAATTGTTAAAAAATACAGTCATTAAAATTTTATATACGGTTATTATTCTAATACAAAACCACTGGACAATTTATTTCCAACCGTACCAGTCGGCGATTGGGCTGGACTCACAATTTTGGAATGTTGCCGACCTTTAGCCAACGCCTTAGCTGACTAAAAAGTGAATAAACAGCGATTATAAAATAATTCTAAGTTATCAAAGAATTAATTTATCATAAATATTTAAAAAGTAAATTGATAATAACCAATAAGTCCTTAAGCCTTTGCAATAATAAAGATTCGAAGTAAATATTACTCATCAAAATTATTACTCATAAACGAGACTGATGTTCGAGGAAAGGTCATTAATATTTTACTAGTAGAATTTGGATAAAGCTATTCTATTTTTTATTATAATCCCTACTAATATTATAAATGCGAAAGTAACTCTGTCTGTCTGTCTGTCTGTCTGTCTGTCTGCTACGCTTTCACGCCTAAACCACTGAACTGATTTTAATGAAATTCGGTACAGAGATAGAGTTGACCTTGAGAAAGAACATAGGATAGTTTTTATCCCAGACTTTTGAAAGGTTCTCTTGGAAACGCGATATAACCGAACTCCACGCGGCGAAGCTGCGGGCGGAAAGCTAGTTGTATTATAAAATATATATAGTTCGTTATGATCAGTTTCTCATGACTTACACCATACAAAGTTTTATGCTACAACTGGTGTTAGAAGGAAATTATTATTTAATTATTCAAATTATATCCACCAGAATACAAATATATGATAAGCATATCTAGGTATAGTATCCCCACTAATATTATAAATGCGAAAGTAAATTTGTCTGTCTGTCTGTTACTCTTTGACGCCTAAACCACTGAACTGATTTTAATGAAATTTGGTACAGAGATAGAGTTGACCTTGAGAAAGAATATAGGATAGTTTTTACCCCAGATTTTTGAAAGGTTCTCTTGGAAACACGATATAACCAAACTCCACGCGGGCGAAGCTGCGGGCGGAAAGCTAATAGTATATATATCGGACAGTCTTGTACACTTGTAAATATACTGTCTACAGATTATAATATAAGGTAATAATTTAAAAATTTTACTTAAAATACGAACTATAATATATTAACATTTAACCTTTCACATTATTAAATAGTAATCGTATTTATGAGATTATTTCTAAGTGAGTCATTTTATTTGTCATCTACTCTCCACTAACAGAGTACTCATACAAAAGGGTACACTTCATTGTACTCTTTGCATTAACAAGTAAAACGTTCACTTATTGCCTTGCAATTTAAATCATTATTGATAATTCTTACATAAGTTTAATTAGCAGGATTCTGGTACAAGAATAATAATTATAGAATTTGAAATAAGTGAAGGTTTCACGTCTTAATTGTCGTATGAGTCAATATGAGTGTTACACAAAATATATAGACACGATAACTTACTTTAACTGTAGCTAGGATTTGCATTAATAATCAAAATTTATGGATATTCGTCTGATATAAAAGCCATACCTACACACATACAATATAAAAACTAACGAATTTGTTTTACACAACTGATGTCTTATGGAGTCATTGGTATAAAGTTATTGTACTGGAAGATAAAATATATGTTTTTTTTTTTAAACAGTATACTTTTCATCTACTCGTAGTTTGCTGGTGATCACGGTTGCTGCAAAGTAACTGAAATGTCAAGAGTACGTAGTTAAACTAATAAAAAAGTGTACTAAATCTGAAAATATTCGTTTTATTAAAACTTTCTCTTTCTTCCCTGGTTCCACTTAATGTAGGGTCTGCACACCATGTTCTTCTCCAGTCTCGCCTATCAGTCGTCATCACATCAGTTACCCCTTTCTTAGCCATGTCATTCTTCACTCAATACATCCATCTTTTCTTAGGTCTACCTCGACCCACATATCCCTCCACAATCATATCTAACATTCTTCTTGTTATGTGACATTCATTCCTTCGCATAATATGTCCATACCACGCTTTTATTTATACAATATATTTAGTATTTAGTTATAAACTCAGTCAACGATACCAATCAACCAAGAACCTACTTTCCACAAACTTAGTTTTGTTATACCTTATTATTAATTATCAATATATATGTATATATATTGAATACAAAATAAGTGTTAATTAATGTTAATCTATCTTACGTACACATATGTACAAATGTTTCAAATTATGTTGGAAAATGCTTCATGATTTTTGATAAAATTTCAATTACATGAAAACGATTTTTTATTCAAGTAGTTATTTATGCCTATAATTTCAATATTGCTTCATCATATAGAAGGGTTATTTATATAGAAAGATTTAGGCTGATGTAATAAGAAAGTAATCAGGAAAAATGAAGTGCATAAATTTGAAAGGACATAGGTATTAAGTATAATGTTAGTTTTTTCCAATAAAATTATCTAATATAATTGCTATATCCAATAATTAATAAATCTTAACAAAAAATATGTAATCATTAGGTACCTTTTGTTAATTTTTTAACGGCCGTGGAAACATAAAAATGCAGTAAAATGATTATTGACCTTTTATTAATTGGTTTGACTTTCAAATAATAATTGTTCATCATTTAAAATATTATATTTTCATAAAGATGGAGTTTTTCAAATTCAGTTATCTTCTTTAAGTTATAAACAATTGTGAAGTAAAATTATAATCTTGTTTGGAACACCAGACAACAATTTTGTATTTTTTTCATTACATAGCAATCGTAGTATTATTAAGAAATATAAAAATATATATAGCTATCAATGCGAGTATTTTATATCCTAGACATTAGGGGCCATCCATAAAGTACGTCACACGTAAAGGGGGGGGGGGAGGGGGTCGACAAAGTGTGACATGGTGTGACAAGGGGTGGGAGGGGTCCTAAGTTTCGTGACATCACATTTCAAAATCTAGAGGTACTAATCACGTAATTTGAAATTTTAATTAAAATCTTTAAAACTGAGCGCGTCATCATATATATATGTATATTCATTAGTTTATTTTTTGTTATTGTTTCAAATATTTGATACTGTATTGATTTCATAAGAAAGTACTTAATTTAAATGGAAATAAAACTAATTTCGGAACTGCTGTTTTAATTTAATAATTTTTCGATGTTAAATTGCAAGACATGTGACGTCACACTAGGGAGGGGGGGTCTCAGAAATGTGACCACCTGTGACAAGGACGGGGGAGGGCTCAAAAACTCATGAAATTAGTGTGACGTATTTTATGGATGGCCCCTTATACAAAAAACTTTATAGCGTTAGCATTTTTGTTGATTGAATGTATGTACTAATTAAGACGAAAAATAAAATTTAAAATCTTTTTGTTCAATAATTATTTTAACTAATATTGATTATGACTTGTTTAAAAGTAATAGCTATTTAATTTGAAAAAAGAACCTTTTTTTTGCTGCAAACAATTAACAAATTAATTAAACAATGCTTATTTAAATGCGTTTAAGTTTTAAATTGCAGCTAATAAGGCGGTGAAGGAAAACATCGTGAGGAAAACTGGACTTATAATTTCACAATTATAAGTTTGAAATCACCAACCCGTCTTGAGAAAACGTGGTGATTAATGCTCAAACCTTCTCCATGTGAGAAAGAGGCCTTTGGTCAGCAGTGGGCTCTGATAGGCTGATGACAGACGGTTAATTATTTAATGACTGAATTTATTATGGATAATATAATATTATGTATCTCCTTTTGTTTCTCCATCAAGTAACGGGTTCTGCATAATTACCTAAGCAACATAGTAAAGGTTTTGGTCTCAGCAACCGCTGTGTCCAGATGTCAATGTAAAGCGCAGAGCTAATAGCAACACTCATAACATAATAATATAGTAAACATTATACGCCTATATTATTATAACTCATCATTCTCATCATAATTTCAAGTTTGTTACCAGCATTAGAAGGGCAAAGGTCGTACTTTGAATTGATAAATAATCGGTTCATTAGATTTCCTAGTAATTATCAGATTTAAGAATCTTTAGCTTATCTATATTTTAGAATATATTTAGACATAACTTCGCATTAAATATGTTGCTGATTTCATCCAATATTCTGTTAAGATAAAGTAGTAAAACTCAAGTAATTAAAATCTTCCTAAGCCTTTGTGGATGACGACATACTATATCCAAATAATACTTTTTGCATCAAATACTGTTGATGTTTAATGTAGTAAGTATTTTTCTTTGAACTTTTGAACGCTTCTTATAATAAAGTTTTTGTGTCAAACCAGTTACTGTTTATATTTTACATGACCATATTTGAAATCTGAGATTTTCGCGAGTCATTTAAATGAAACTAATATTTTGCGGATATACTAAGCGACTTTATTTTTGATAAAAATTACATACTCCCGACGTTTCGATTACTTTACAGCAACCGTAATCACGGGCAGACGAGATGTTTTACCATATTTTTCCATGTTAATGAACCTCTCGTTTCAAAATATTATTATAAAAAGTTAATCATCATTATAAACATAATAATTACGTCATTAGATACTTGTATCTTGATAAAAACTTCCAAACTAAGAATATTATGAATCTATTAAAAATATGATATAAATAAATTAAAGATTGTTAAGAGATACGAAAAATTATTAAATATTTACTCTTTAAGATAATTAGGACTCGCCCAATAAATAAAACCTTTTATAACGGTGACCACATAAACTGCGAAGTTAGCGACGAAAGTTTCCATACAAGTCAGAACATGCGATCATTCAGAGTTTAAGATGGTCGTTTGTATCCCCACCTCGAGTTGAAAGGCACTTTCGCTCGAAGAATTCGAATATCTGACGTCAGGTTTTGCATAACGTGATGCAATGAAGCCAAATACATGTAACTTTGGACTGTTAGATGTGTCAGTTCAGCTATTAATAATTAACAGACTGATTGATAAATCAATCAATTAATGTCTTATATACTTAAAATCAAGTCGTCTTAACTTTTTATTTAAAAGTTTTTGTAATATTATTGATTTATTAAAAGGGTAAAAGAAACAAAAATTTATAAATGGCCATTTATTTTATTAAATAATATTACACTTATATACTCGTAGTCTACATTAGTTTGGTCAAATAAAGTTATGATCGATAGAAATTTTCAATATCGAGTAACCTATTACCAAAATCCCAACACCGGTATAACTTAGCTGTAAACTATTATACAATGACAGACAGGCCGTCGGCTATAATATTTTGTCCCGAATAAATACGAAAGGCTATACATCTATTTGGCACAAAATTTCAAAATTTTTACATTTTCTTCACCGAAAACGGCCGCCACATTTTCACTTAACACTAATTACATCAACATTGCAAATGTCCCACATATGTATCGCATCGAATACGAAAAGACAACAAAACAGTTACATTAAATATTTTTTATATAAAAAAACAAATAAATGATATCTGCAATATAAAATTTAAACTATTTTTAAATATTTTTTTTATTTTATTTTATCATATGAGAACCTCTTCGTAATCTTTAACGATAGTAAGAGCAAACTTATGCTCTAATACAAAAATATTTACACAGACTTAACTACAAGTTCATAGAACGTACTAGAAATATATCATAGATATATGGGATAAAAATTACCAGCTTTCGACGTGCGATCGAATCAATTGATTTCTTTACCAACCGCAGTCTAATCGCCGGTAAAAAAAAACTTATACTAACAAAACCATTGTCTCCATCCATTAGAATTCCAGAGAAAATTACCTTTCCCGAATTATATGGAGGAGCGTCAATCGATGTTTCTATCGCAGGACATTCACTCGCCTGGAAAAACAAAACATCGACAAACTCCGAAACTGCGTCAAGTTTTGCTAACAAAACCCGACCAGTCGTCAAGGTGTCCGCATTACCGCGGCTCTCACACTCCCTTATTTACAATAAATATTTACAATTTACTTATACTACTAAGTCACTGCACGGCTTATAAACAGTAGGGATGACAGAACTGATAGACGAGCCTCTGACTCCTCTCCGTTTTCTTCATGATGCCTTTCTTGTAGTATTGTCTGATGCTACGCGACAGTTTGTCGTAGTTCATTGCGGGCCTGTTTTTTCTTTTGCCCCACAGTCTGGCGACACGAACTGAATCTTCAATTTTGAATACACCGTTACCTGAAGAACACCACATGAATTAATCATCAATAGATTGTAAGGACATTATTTTTTTGGTTTCGTGAGTAAATTTTTTAACTATAAATAAGAACTCGTTTTTGATTTCTTGATTGGCTATTAACAATACTGATTGACGTATAAACACACCATTAGCATAAACAATAAGTTGTAATTTAAATATGTCAATGATCACAGTAAATTCCAAGTTAATTAAATGACCCAGATTCTAAAGGACTAATCAAAATCCTACTATCGTGACCAGTTTCTGTGAATTCCGTGTAACCAGTGTTTCTGATATTACCATAATTGACCAGTTAAAGCTGAAGTAGACGTGTCAACAATGGTCGTAAACCAGACGGAACATTATAAATAGTATATAGATCCAGTCACGAAGCAGAAAAGTAACCTTTTGAGTATTTTATAGAGTGCCTAACAGATGGCAAGTAAATGGCTGGTTCACCTTGGATCGAGAATGTCGCTATGGATTTCCACCAAGAGTTATAAACGAAGAACACAAACTTTATATAAATGGCATTGCACGAACTAAATTATATATAGGACGCAATAAATTCAGGCAATTGAATACTTCTAAATCCTAGATGACACTATATAATATATTGCTTGGAAACTTCAAACTAGCAATAGTATCTGATAGGTCATTCATAAAAATGACCTCTTCAATATGTAAAAGAAATTTAAGTTTAAATGTGTTTCTCCTACAACGTAGTCGTCCATTAACTTCTAAAATAATTACAGTTTACACACATCTCGTAAACAATGATATAAAAATTTTATATTCAAACTCGTTTCCATGGCTGCCAATTAATACCTCATAAGTTTTTTCATTCAATTATAAAACAAAGGAAACAAGAGGCTGCATAATATCAGAATATAAGATTAATGTTGACTGACCAAAACGTTTTCTATTCTATTGTAATACGGATTATTTTCGATTGCTTTAGTTCTCTATAAATTGCTTTATTCTTGACTTGGGTATACTTGATTTCATTAGATACAATAAGTTCATTGTTTAATGACATGTCCAGTTAAACTAGTCTATGTATGTATATAATTCATTGTAACTAAACCTGGTTTTTACCATTCGTATCCTATTTTACATGCTGATATAATTTCTTGTTTAGCTAGGATGTTGGAAAATTACTCTTTATATAAATAACAATATTATTTTAATAGTATCACTAATCTCTTCATATTTGGATATTTAATATATATATATGTGTCAAATATTATCTGTTTCTGCCGAACGTAGATATTATTACTAAACAAAGTTTTATACTTATAACTTATTTTTTCTAAGGAGATTTTATTTTGATATTTTTTTTGCACTTTCGTCCACCACTTTCTTTTGTAGGTTAGTTTTTTAATGTATTGAAAGCGTATTAGATTACAAGGTCTAAGATTTGTCAACTTGCATGTTTATCAACTTACTTCGATCTAACCACCGTATAGCTGATCCGTGTATGTGTGGTGACGCCAGAAGTTCTTTGAGGAACTGCCAAAGATGGATGTGAGTGCTTCCAGTCTTCACTTTGCCACCACCTTGACTGACATTAGCTACAATGGATTCTGCATCATCTGTTGAAAAATATTTCTATATATTTTTGGTACAATTATTACAATTACAATTTTTAAAGAAATGGAACAGGTAAAAAAACAAGCGTATACTTCTATGACCTAGTTAAATTAAATACAAACAGTTTTATTATGTTTGGTTGGTTTGAGTTTTTTGGAGATAAAGTTTTTATGAGACAAAACTGTCCTTATAATCTCGCTAAAATTAATCCGAATATTATACCAATAACACAAATTTGGTTTACCAGATCGTGCTAAAGTAATCTTTAAATTGAGTATTTAGATAAATATCAAAATGAAATAGTAGATCCAATAGAAAGATAGCTTCACAACAATTAACAATGTCTAATTTTGAAGAAACTAATAAATTAAACTCCTTATAATGTAAAGATGTTGACTATTAAAACTATTATAATAAGTTGGCTAGTAAATGATATTAAATTTTAATAAATATTAAAGATATTTGTTAGCAAATTTTAAAAGCAAAAGCCGCGACCTTCGTTCCAGGTCACATAAACAAACAGATAGTAAAACTGTAAAGTAAACACCGCTCTCGAGTTAACGAATATCTTCTATTTTAAGATGGCGTGTGTTGAGATCATAAATTCAATTTAAAACATTCTTCTTAAGATAAAAGACAATGAATCTGGACCAAATTAAAAAGAGTTTGGTCCACTTTTAATTGTTTTTGGTCCATTTGCAAACAATATTTGCAGTGATAATTAATTGATTAATTTTAATCAGAAATCGAATAGTTTAATAGAAAAAGGATATTATTTCTATTGAATTATTCGCGGCAAAAAGCAAAAACATTAACGTCCACCTACTGAATTCTAGATCAGAGAAATACGTCTATAGAGTTTATATGAATTTGTTTGGTGTTACAGGGTTCTAGCTTGACTGATACATTCGACCTTGCGGGTCCAGTCCAGTCACATTTGGGTCATCTGGAAACGTTATAAAAAGCTGATTCACCATACATGGCTTGGTGTCAGTAAGGAATACTCATTGACGGCCAGATTGATAGTCTAACTGTCGCTGAATAAGGAGCCCAACGTATAATACTTTACAAACATTTCAGGGAATAAATCAATTTGATCAAGTTAAATAATTCAAAAACTTTAGAATCAAACAGTTTATTTAATATCTTAGTCGCAATAGAAATCACTTAATGATAAATAACTAGCCAGCAATAGTATTTTGTTTTTGCTCTAATAAAATAAGCATCCAGAAACCCTTGAGCTATTTATATAAAAAAGTTACATACATTTTTTAACTATCTGATAAATTGAATTAGTTAAAACATCCTGTGTATGAAGTGATATAAATCTCAACGTGTTCAATGATCGGAATGCGGTATACTTGGTACAGATGATTGCCCTTAGCCGTTTCCTGTGCCACATCAACACTTTTTTAAACTCGTAACTAGATCAAACGTTTCAATCGAATCTGATCAGCTCGAGTGCATTCATTAAGAAAATATAATATCACAGTATATTTATCGTATTCTCTCATTCCTACATCTCATTCTATTCCTTCTAATCTTCATACATATTACAGATATTGTTTTGAAATTCTAATGTTAATGACATCCGAACGGTTCTTTTAAATATTCTAGCAAAGGGACGTGTTAAAGATAAAATCTTCCCATTCAAAGCGTCCCATTTCTGTCCATCTCTAGCTCCATCGGAAAGCAAACACTAGGCCATATATCATAGACTCGTTTGTCTGTATGTGGTACCTCGTATCGGCTAACGGTTGATCACAATACAAGCTGATGTATGACCGTGCTACATAGCATCCACTGGAGTTTCTACTGTTTTGTTTGTTGCGGAGATAAATTTAGTACTTTATTGAGCTAATAGGTTGTAAACAACGTTGATATTTCATTTGATTTAATTAACTGTCACTGCTGTTCAACTTTCCAATATTTTCTTTATTTATAATTTATATTATATTACTTCCTACTTCAAAGGAAGCTTTAATTGATCAACTAGGTATTAAATGCTTGTCTATGTCGGCGTTAAAAGTTTATAATAATGTTATGTTAATTACTTTTATTTGCTCTTGACTATGGCTCGTTTGCTTAATATATCAGGTTCAATTCTATAGAGTCCAAATAAAGTATAGGCTCTGAATATTGTTTTCCTTAAGTTTTACATAGTAAAGTATCGTTAAATCAACTTACCATCGCTCATGTCGTCAGTGGCAGGTGCGGGAGGTGCTGGTGTGGGCGCTCGTTGCTCAGTCCACTGGCTCCTCCAACCCTCATGCCGTGCAGCCTTCCAGATTTCCAGTTGAGCGTACAAAGTGCTCCCCGCCTAGTGTTCAATATTGTTGTAAGATTTTAACTTGTAAGTGTTATAATTTGATGAATATAATGAACTAAAATCGAAATAGGAATCTGGATATGACAAAAAATATACTAATTAAAATAATGAAACACGTCAAACACATATTGAGAAACATGTTTTAGTTCTGATAGAAGAATAATTTATTTTCTTATTATGCGATTAGGAAACAGAGCAGATTTAACGATTTGTATGCAAACATCAATAGCCATGTACTGCCGGTGACTTTCCATCGGCCTTGGAGAAAGTAGAAGCATCGGTGCGTAAGACGATCATTAACTTGAACGATAACATCGAGAATACGGAGTAAAACACATCTCAGATTATTCCTTTGTTTTGAACAAATAGTTGCAACAAAGTTTAACATAAGTATGACCTTTTAATGACACAATAACTAACCATTAACTATACTTTACAAATTTATAGTTTAATCAATGATAAAGGGAGAAAATAAATTTCTGTTCACGAGATCTTGTTAAAAATTTTGAAGTTTACTCCCGGTTTTATAATACTCTTCCATACTTTAGCTTCAGTAAATTAAAATGTACATATTACACAGCACATATTTTTGACTATGAATGAAACCTCAAAAGTTTTTCTCGTTAAGCAATATTTATGTAATGTTCCATAAAAAGTAAAAAACTTGATACAATTTCGTATCTATTGCATAAAAATAGCACAGACGTAACCTTTTAACAAACTGCCTTGGACCGTGACAAGTTACAATGCCCTTAACGCTAAAAATAGTTTAGATTTTATTTTGAATCTAAGCGTGACGTATTAAAACGCTTTGGAGTATTTTTTGTCTACGTGCTCAATTTCAAATTTAAAATTCCATGTCACATTTCAAAGTACCAATTAATTCCATTTATGATAACAAGTTGTAATAAGATGTTGCTTCCAAAATCAATTAAGCAATACAGCTTGAACAGAACGAAAAATATTAATGAAGATGTCTCTATAATGTATCTTCTATATATATAAAAATGGATTGCTGTTCCTTAGTCTCGCTAAAACTCGAGAACGGCTGAACGGATTTATCTTATCTTAGTCTTGGAATGTTTGTGGAGGTTCAGGGAAGGTATAAAAGGTGAGAAAAATTGTAATAATTGCCGAGAAAACCCTAAAAACAGCCCTTTCCTATTTCCCATACAAACGCTTTTTTTGACATTAGATTTGACAACTAACTAATATTTCAATCATTCTGTTTGATTGAAACAGGAAAAACCTGATTATTTATGGCCTCTAAGACGGAATAGAGTTCGCCCGGTCAGCTATACATATATTACTAATGACGAAACTAACGCGGACGAAGTCGCGGGCAAAAACTAGTATTATATATTTTTGCATAAATTTAAATTTCTGAATATATTAAAAATTTGATGTATGTAGTTGATTACAAGACTATTAATGTTTTTAGATACGAGAATAGTTCTGGAAGGTTCCAGGACCTTAAATGATGGAATATTTCGTATTTACTCTGTAAATTTGTTTGTTTTCAACAAACACTATCAAACACACGTTTTGAACTATGCTCCATTATCGGTGCCCTTAATCGCCCAGGGCCACGTGATTATGACGATTCTCGAGAGCAATAGTCAACAACTGATTATTATCCTGTCATTCAGTATTACTTCCTAACAAAATCTTCAATAAATCAATCAATTGCCTAGGATATGAGCTATAAATAATATTTAATTGTTTATTAACTAACTAATACATGAAAAATGCATACCGCAAACCAACTAATTTAACATAAATCCATTCTCATTAAGCAATGACTAATATAAAAACCATAAATGACAATATCAAATAGTATTTCTCATATATTTTTTTATGAATGACTCAGTTGTATACTTTACGGCTGACAATGTTTATAATGAAATCTATTTATAAGTAAAATACAACTTACTTGTGGAGCCCTTTGATTAAATTCCTCTTCAGTGAGCGCAACAAGAGCTGTTCCATCCATCGCGAAATACTCTGATGGTACCATCGGCAGGTTGAAGTGTCTTAATGTGAACATCACCCAAGCTTTAACGTCACTAGAGCTCCATTGCATTGGGTCTACCAAAAAAAAATACATTATTAATTCACATAATTTATCAGCGAATCAAATCAGCATAAATAAATCTTCATCTGCTATATTTTAATTGAAATATTACATGTTTTTTTTATATTTTTTTGCGGTTAGACAACTATTTATTATTGAGAATGTTTAAAGAACCAAAATGATTATAAATACAAGACAAAATTATCGAAAATTAAGCTGTAATGATAACACCGATGCTCAACAGTCGTATCAACAAATACTCCAGTCGTTGCGTAATCAACTATTTTAACGAAGTACTTGGAAGCTATTTATAATAATCGTTGTTTGCTTTAGCAGTAGCATCTTCGATACGTGGAAACATTATGTTTTTTCATTCATTCGCGATATTATTGACGTCGATGTTAATTAATCTGTCAAAGGTTACGATTGTAACTTGTAAGTGATTATCAAGATACACTGCCTGCATTCCAAAGCATGCTAGACATCGTGTAAGCATTTTATTGCGAGACAATCCACGTATATTAAATATATTATTTATGATTAAGAAATCAAATCATGTCTGACTCACCTGGTGATATACCCAACACTGTGCACGTGTTATCAACATCTCGCTTTGATTGTTCGATGGCCATGGAAAGAACGCGATCTATGTCTGGGGCAACTAGGGCTTCCTCGCCGGGACCACCACTGCTTTCTTCCATTTTAACGCTTCCTAATTCAAAGGGCCTTAAGTTTAATCTTTTTTGGAATGTCGTGTCTTCAAGAGCTGATCTTAAAAGTATATGATCTCTGGGTTCTTCGACTTCGATTTTAGGTGTTATATAATTCTGTTGGATACTGTCTTGTAATATTTGATTTTCTTTAAGGAGATCTTCGATATTAATATATTCTTCTTGTTGTGGAACTGGTGAGGAATACTGATTGTTACTGCTGTAAGAAACGCAGGAGCCCGATGGCGACAGTGGATAAGGTGACGCGAAGCCTGGCACTGTTAGCCTGTTTGGTTCCTCTTTTATGAAAATTGGAGAATATTGAAACGAGTTGTAAGGTGAAGACGGCTGTAGTGCTACTGTTGGTATTGAGCCCTCGTCCGACGAGGGTGAAGGTGTGGGGAAGCCTTCAAAGTCGTATATGCGTTCAAGATAGTTATTGTCCTCTGGATAAGGAGGTGGTGGCTTAGTGTGTGTTGGTGGAGAGTGCAACATCGGTTCTGGTGGTGATTCGGCGCCTAAAAGACGCAGGAGGTGATGAATATCTGCTGGCGATGTTGGCACTGCCCTCTCTCCCTGGGATGCCGATGGTGGGCTGCACCCAGACCGAGGCACCGTCTGTGGCATCTGTTAACAAATATATCCTTGAATGGTTATTTATTTCGCTATCTTACTATTTGTTAAATTCAATGGGATTGTTTTGAAAATTCCTTACACAGTTTTTCGCCTATCTCATATATAACTTCGTTCGATATACACCTATTAATTTCTTTTTAATTATCAAAAATTTATTCTACGTTAGACTTTTTAATCAATAAAATAAATTGAATATGGAAACAGAAATAAAGATTAATATAAGATACAATATAATTGTATTCATATAGATTTAATTTTTAAATGAACTCATAAATTACACTAAAATACACTTTAAAATTATTTAACAACACATGACTAATTTAAAGGATCTTTAAATGTTAATGTAAGCAAATCTATGAAAAGATCAACTACGTCAACGTAAGTCTGAGTTTGCGAAACCAGATGTCTAAAGCGTAACATACTTAAATTTTATGCTTCATTTATTAATAATCCGGATTCTTTCAAAGCTCTTGTAATCAAACAAAACATTCAAAATATATGATGGAAACAAATAAAAAGACTAGCTTTGTTTTCTTGTTTACAAAAGACACTAACACGTGCTAGAAAGATACCCATCTCTGTAAATGATAAAATCCTACTGAGCTGCTAATAATACGTACAACTTCATCCTTACTGTAGTTACAACCGATCAGTTAATAAACGAGTTTAATTTACATGTAATTTCTTATCTTTACACAATTATATAATTCTTCCCACGACGACTCGCAGTAATTCATAAGAATACCTGCTCTTTATTCAGATTGGTACATTTTTATAACATTACATGAAAGTAGATTATTTCGCCTAAAAAACTAGATACATATTAAATTAAAAACATCAAAATTACTTTTTCCAAACATGTAAGAAATATAGCAGAAAGCCGAAATTCATCATTCCAAAATGACGCTGGCTTGTCTAATTTGTCGGAATCTATTTTTAATATATTATGTTAATTTTATTTTGATTTATAGACCATAATGATGATAAGGTCAGATAACCGAGTTAATTGTATTTAGAGCAGTTGGGACCCGTTTGTATTTAAATTAATATACCATATTAAAAAAAATACAAGTCAATTATTATGTAAATACGTATCATATAAAAATGAAAAAATAGAACAAAATTTTTATGAGTAATATATATAAAAATTGGGATATAAAAAGAATATGAAAATATTGTTAAGTTCAAGATTTGTATGCAAAAATTCACATGTCAATTATGATAATAAAAAAATCGTTTCGTAATATCGACGCCGAGTATGCGGAAGCTTGCGAGTTGTGGAGAATAATTTTAGGCTTATTGAAGCGGATTAGTCTGGAATTCTCGCATATATTACCAATATATCGTCAAATACATTGCATTTATCGTCCATATATTCACTTTAGATTTAGAGTCTTATGTCATTTAAGTAATAATGATTACATTAAACACTATTTGTCAATCAATGTTTGTATGTTTGACGTCACTTCTCTAACACGGGCTGTTCTAGAGCTCTTCTAGAGAACAGCGCGTGACCAGACACTATACAGCCTCTTGTTACGATTTCGACAAGACCTTGGGGTTTTCACGAATGTACCGCATTTGTACATTGTTCGAATCAATTGCAAACAAGTTTATTTCTAAAGAACGTCACTAGCAATGTCAACTTGACATAAGATTTATTTTTGGCACATATACTTCAAAATTGTTAGTTCTATGCTCTGTATAGTTACTCGGCCCTCTTACTTTATGTGTACACATTTATTACTATTTTATGTACATACATATTAAATTAAAAGTCTTGTGAAGCACGTGTATTCAGTATGAAGTTCACGTTTGCATAATACAACAATAAAACAAGTCTCAAGATGTATCCTAAAGATAAACTCAAATTGCCCATTAATTTTGGCACAATCCACCAAAACTGAGTTAATGGTTCTTCAGCGAATTTGAACTCTATTGGTATCGTAACTAAGTACAAAAGAACTTTGTATATACCGGTAAGATTTTTTAGTATTTGAACTTCTGTCTACTCCTTTTATAGCACTTCAACACGATTTGACAAACATCTAAATCATGTGGATCCACAGTTAAGAGATAAACAAATCACAAATTGGTGGTTTTCCCACCAACGAATACAAGCAGATGTACAAAATAAAATGTATATATAAAATAATATTATTATTAACAATATTATATTATAATAACCTTAACTAATCTACATTTATACTATCCATACAATCAAAACTATTCTAGTATTCACAAATTAATTACTTTTTACACATTCCGTCCCATTATTTCTTCAAATTTAATGCTAATGAATTAAATGGTCTCGTCATTTGATTTACAATACACATTATATGTCAGAGAGTAAAAACCGGCTTAAATTATTCTCGTTTTACACCAAAAAAGAAACTCACATCAAAAGTCAGAAAAACGACACTATTTGCTGTCACTGCAATAATTAAAAAAATAAACCGCACTCACTCGAAACGTCAGCTAAGTAAGGGTTGTTGCACCTTTGACGTAGCGGCCATCTTTGTATAGGTTACGTTATACCGGCTTAATAGCTTATAGTTTTTTGGCCCATGGCCGCGTGTGTACAGCGAGTAGATCACCCGGCCACTGAGCGGTGCGCACGCGCAGCACCTTTGATTCAATGAGGCCTGCGTCACGCCGGAAAATACGTTACTAAACTTATATCGAACTTAATAGTGCCTGTTGAACAATACCGCGTGTACGTCATTGTACATTTGATTGGATATCTATGACGTTCACTTTTATAAAAATTAACCGAACGATATACAAACTAAACAGTAAAGACATTCTGTGGACTTTTAAGTTGAGAGCAATAGAAATTTGTACTACGGCAAAGATTGCATTATGATCATAACATTCCAAAATGTACCTAAATGAAGAATCTATGAGAGAAATTTAACCTAAATTGTTGTCCTGAACAAAGCTTTTTAACAATTTATATATACATATATTCCAATTAATTTAAACTTTACAAATACATTATGTTTTAAATCAATGTTGAGTTACTATGATAAAGTCTGGAACATGACTGGAGACAACAGCTTCGATTTCTGTTCGTGTAAATGATTTTTCTTTCCATAATTTCTTATTAAAATAGTAATTGTTACATGTGCAATTAAATCAGTGGATATTCCTGAATGCATATAAGGTTGTGATTATGTTCAATCTTATTTGAAATGACTCACGTGATTCTAAGTAGAATTAATAATTAAATGATTATATATTAATGCATTTAAAATTACAGACATAGGTTTATAACTAGGTCAGAAATATATAAAATTCCATCGAAATTACCTTAAAAGGATCTTAAACTTGGACACACAGCATTTAGACAACCAGCTTCCTACTTCTGAGTATTTTTTTAACAACTAATCTAATTAGTTAATGTAATAAGTATAAAAGAATGCTTCCTTATTGAATACAAAGAAAGAATAATACAAAAATAAATAAATTAATTTAATTTCAATGTCACGGTTCTATTTAAACTGGTTCTAAAAATAAAACTTGTAAAAAAAGTATCAAAACCAATTATCCTTGACGTCTTATTGGGTAAGACAATGACGTCATACCTACACTTCATTCATAGTTCAATAATTACACACAGACAGGTGCACACACACAAATGCAACTGTATTACAATAATTATACACACAGACAGCACACATTGATGACATGTAGCTATGACGTTAAAAACGTGAGAAAAACTTTACATCGTGATATAATTGTTTACGTACACCAACTGCCGAGTATTAGACGTACATCTTTTTTTTATACAATCGTTAAGAAACCTTAGTTCATTACAAATAGGGTCGCCTTTTCCATGTTTTGAAATGAAATATAGAAGAAGACATCGTGTATTCTTCGCAGAAATTCATATCTACGTAAATGTTAACATCATCTTATATGTCATTGGAAAAAGAAACATTTTGTTTTAATTCCAAGACATTTAATTAGTATTTTCAATGTAGCTTCAAAAGACATAAACGAGTTCGTAACGTGTGAGGATGAATGTTTACTTTTAGACAATCTATTTTGTTTCTAAATTAAACCGATTACCATATTACTCGAGCTAATTTCGTAAAAGAAAATTTCATTTATAACTCATATAGGACCCATACAAAAATACGGAACTTAGTCCCAATACAAAAGTCAAATGATTCTCAAATATACATATGTATTTAGTTAAAATAGATTCTATGAATAATACTAAGTAAAGCCACGAAGTTTTTATAACACTACATTGGCGAAATCAATAAGGAAACGTCACTAACTAAAGAAGAAGAAGCAGTTTTTTATAAAACGAATATATTTATTAAAGCTTCCCCAAAATTAGGACCACAATAACAATAAATGAAAAAATCTCAAACCAAACAGCAATCCAAGTCACGGTAGAAAATAATGCGTTCCACATTAAAGTATTTACTGCATACCTTCATATCAATGAACGTTCGAAGAAGGAACGAGAAATTATAGCCGGGTTGGTATCGCTGTCTGAATTGAAAATGTATAAGCATTCATTATGTAATCGGAATTGCCAAGTGACTAAGTTGTCACTATTCATAATACGACTTCGTTTGAATCGAATCATGGAGGCCGTGCGTAGAGGTATTTTAGATATAAAAAACAACAGATATTTGGTCACGACAATAAGTTGAAAACAATACTATACGTTTCAAACGAGTTATGTGGTAAATACTTTATTGGTTCACGATTTTAATTCACAGTAACATTATACAGAAATGAGAATGCCAACGAAGATTTTATCGCTAAAGGGCAATCGGTTCTAAGGAATCTTTGGACACACATAAAATAATAGCGTTCTAGAGAAAAATAATTTAATATGTAATGTCAAAATAATAAAATTCTTAATACTTACGACGCAATATATTTTAAACAATAACAGAAAGATTGTCTGAGTAGAAAGAAAATTACGACTTAACCACAATTACACCAAATGAAATGTTTTGATATTTTTTTTATAATACGTTACAATTTATTCCACAGGGTTATCATATCGGGGGACAAAGTGCAGGTTGGTGATAAGATAGACACGTCAGAAGCATATTGAAATTGTGACACAAGTTATGCACGTCACAATTATGTGATGTCTTATAATTTATATGCCACGGCACAAAAAGATAGATAGATTCTAAATATACTTTAGAAAATGCCCTACAAACCAAGAAAAAATATTTAATTGTATAAAAATACAAATATCGTAATGGAAAATATAATTGTATTGAAATAAATCAAGTCAGAAACATCTGTAATTAATAAACAAATCTAATGTCAATACTCATTAATAATATTCAAATTTATCGTCGTCTTCAGCCTATCATAGCCCACTGCTGAGCAAAGGCCTCTTTCTCACATGATTTGAGCATTAATAACCACGCTTGCTCAAGACGGGTTGGTGATTTCAAACTTTTAATTATGAAATTATAAGTCCAGGTTTCCTCATTACATTTTCCTTCACCGTCTGTCAGTGGTGTCTAAATACTCTTAGAAAGTACTTATGATTGGGAAATTTCACATTGGTACTTGCCAGGATCGATCCCGCGCCCTCGGCAACGAGAGGCGGGCCCTTTAACCACTAGGCCACCACCGAATTTATCGTCACAAAAGTAAAATTATAAGTTGTTATAAAAAAGGATTTATTTGAAATGTTATGTGTTACCATAATCTGTTCTAAATCTTTTATTTACATCAGAAATAGATGGAGACAAAGAAACAAAAGTTTAACATTGAACACGACCTCAAACCGGCACGCATTAAATTAAATCCTTGGACATTTCAATATAAATATTTGCCATGGAATGTGTTTTCTTGTAAATATTTATTTATTATAATATATTCAATACACTTTCCGTTGTAATAACTTTATATAAGTGTTTAATTCTTTTAATTGAATTCATAATTACATTATGTAGCTTATTCGTAGATACCAAAGCTCTGCTCGAACCGGTCTTTAAGGCCTTCGGTTTTCCCAAGAGCATTCAAAATGGCCGACTGACAGATCACTTTAACCAAATATAACCACAATATAACAATATATTAAGAACATATTCGTGTGATGAAAAATATATACGTAATTTATATGAAAATTAACATTTTATGTTTATTTTATTGTGGACATTATTTCGTGTTATGTAAAGACTGATTTCGTTTAAGCTATTAAATTTGCTCGACATAGCAACAGTCTTTATTATGAAATGCAAAGATTTTATTGAACTAATGGCGCCAATTTTTTATATTGCGACGGATTGATGATGTTTAAAAAAAATATATATTTTCAAATTAACTTTTATTTATGCATATTAATTAAATCTTAATTAATTTAACACATTTTTATGTATAAAATTAAAAATTATAACCTACATATGACATAAATAATGACATAAATGAATATTAAAATTTATTATCTAATAATTGAGGAACTATTGAACAGATTATAAACATAATAACTGAACAAGGAAGCCTTACAGAGGCGAGGCGTAAACAAACCACAGAGTAGCAAGATCGGTAAAACAAGGTCGCGTTAACCATCGTAAATTACGAACCTGTGACGCAAGTTTCCCTTTCACCGAGTTATAATCGGTAACAATCTATAATTACCTTTTAATTTGTTAATATATAACGAATGAAGTGGACGTTTAAATGATTTGATCGTGATTTTGATTTTTGTGCTTTTTATAGAAAGGACATGTGAATATTGCTTACGAAATTAAAGCTTCAAACCCATTTTAAGTATTGCTTCATTTAAAATGATATAATGAATATGTCCGACTGTTTCTTATGAATATTTTAGTCCAAAAGTTTGCCTTATTTGTTTAAATTTGATCAATAAAACAAGCAGCCAGGTGTGATTGTAATATTCCGCACTTATTCTACCAGTTAGCGTTCATGACATAGCGATGCTTTTATGACTCCGTCTCGTGAATTACGACTAACTAAATCTGCATATTTGTATAGTTGGAAAATGACCCTTAATTTTCACACTTCATGTCCATTTTACGAAAATATTTGTCAAAATAAAATCTCGACCTGTTATGTTAATTCATTTTTCACGTAAACTTGCAAATTTTCTTTGTTGTTTAAGTAATTTTATTTATTTCAATATAAATGTATAAGAGTTAGAACTAGAACTTCAAGCATAAATTCCGAGAAATGTAACAAAAGAAATATTTGGCCTTTGCGAAAGATTTGTCTCTGAGTCATAGTGGTTAGCCAAAAGTGAAGCCATTTTCCTGTTACGGCCTAACACTTTCGCAATAATGAATCAATACCAATACTTAACTGAATTAGTTGTGTCATTATACAATTTCTTAGCAAAATAATATAAAGGAATTTATTATTTATAATTGAAAATTGGTTAACTATTTCAGGATCACAAAATTATAGACAATTGATTGCTGTCGTAAAATAGAAAAGTGATCCCATGGATATGTAAATTCTCAAGTATGCTCTAGTTTAATTAGTTTTCCGTAACTTTTGGTCAAATTTAAATCCTAATAGAATATTTGGCATCTCCATATCATGAGTGACGTGAGTCAGATCTTGTATCAATGTGTCTGATCACGTAACTCAAAAACAGAAGCCTGCGTCCTCGACCCCAATAATGTCAAGTGAAAATCGAAGCGCAAACAATCGCTCCATTCTCTCTGACCGCTCACTGTTACGACATTAAGAAATGCGCCTTTTGTTTTATATTCTTGTTAAAGTTAAGCTAATACTTGCCAACTATGTATTACATTGTAACGTCTAGATTATTTCATAGAAAATGTTTTCTTATATATCATAAATTAATGTTACAATATATATAAAAATTTCTGGAAGAAAATCTATAGGTATTTGAGTGTATATAGAGTTCGTAATTTTTACATTTAATTTTATACTGTGAATATATATATATATATTAGTATATTTGATACAATGAGATTTCATTTTCCACATGTTATAATACACCAAGCCATTGTAAAAGATCATGCGATTGTAAGTTTAAAATTGAAAAAAAAACATTCATTAATAATTTTATATAACCATCTATTGTTTTGTTAGTAACGAAATAGGAAATATATCATAGTAGACGGGTAATGGACACGTTACTTGAAACATTTCAAATCAATTTGACATTTCATTGTAACTCAAACTAGTTTATAAAGTCAACCTTTAAATAACAGATTAGTGATCCATGATCAAAGTTTATAAGTTGTTTCCTTACTTACACTATACTGGTACAGAAAAACGAAGGTATGAAGTAACAGATAAACAATTTCATTAAATATAAATACTAATGAGATTTAAGATTTTCGAGAGTATTCATTTAAATGAAACTTATATTTTTGGATTTACTACCCCTTTTTTTTATAAACTACATAATCTCGACGTTTCTGTTATTTTACAGCAACCGTGGTTACAGGCATCTCGTCTGCCCGAAAATATTCGTTTCATTTAAATATAAATACTTTCATTGTAATCTGTAATATCCTTCATTACTCTATCTAAATACGTTTAACTGATGTATATGTAAAAATATCATAATTTTATCTACGAATAATAAAAATAATCCAGTCGATTACATGATAAATGGCAATTCTAAATTTAGCGATGAAAAAATATTAATTTTATGTCGAATTTTGCTGCTGTTTTGATTAAATATTGTGTAACGTTTAAAGTAAATAAATATATATATATATATATATAAGGTAAAAAAATTAACGTATTGATCGTTATGTTTCGAGTAACAATATGTCGTGAAGGTCAATAAAATAAAAACAAAGATAAACCTATTACAAATATCAAATAGATAAAAATATTTGAGCATAAATCAAAGGTCATTAACATGCCATTTTAGTCACTCTTTATTCAATAAAAAAATAATAGTCTTTAAAAGTGTGTTAATAATGACATCGGGAGTTGCGTAAGTTTATCAAATGAGACTAAATGATAATTAAAATATTGATCTTTGCACCTCAAATGATTAAATTATTTTTTATCTTAGATATATACAGATATATACGAAGAAATGAAATAAATCTTGGTGCTACAATTACAGCTACGATCTACATTTTGCTACAACAATAATAAAAAAAAATGTATAAATCTATCTACAAAACGTAAATTTTTACATTGATTTGGAAACATATGGATATTTCATATTAAATTCTTTTAGTACTGTGTGATATTTCATATATTTGTATCAAAAATTACATTATAAAATCGTTCATCTCATTCATACCCATTGGATTGATATATCACTGTCTCTTTCGTGTGTAATTTTCTTCGATAACTTATCTTTTTGTTTATTACAACAAATTGAAATTGTAGATAATAATATATCATAGTCATTTATGGTAGATATTATATGAAATACTAGAATAAAAAAAAAATTGAACAAGAAAAAACCATAAAGAAATGATTCCATCGAAGCTAAATGTTATTTGAATTATTTTGGCATATTATTTGCTTATTATTTATCTAAGCCTCTCATAGTTCGTGACTTTGCTCACGCCGGTGTCAAAAATCACATTTATTTACATCTAATGAGGCGATTACCAACAATGTCACAGCCGCGGAGATGCCCAATGAATATTTACAAACCAAAAGCTCTTTAAACAGCCCATGTGTTTGTATTATGAAAAACCGTTCACGTTTTATGCTAATACGAATGAGCGAGCGAAAACTAGAAAGTTTACTCACACAGGCGCGTCCATTCGCACATGCATAATTCTTGTATGTATAAAATAAATAGCTACCAATATAATAATAATATAAAAGATCTAATGATAGAAATATTTAAAATATTATTATTACTAAACTCACCGTCTCCGGATCATCGTTAAGATTACTCTCCCACAACATTTTAATATCGAACAGTTCGCTCACTTTCAAAATAAATGCTCAACAAATAAACTTGAATTTAATTTGTGTAAACAGTCAGTCCATTTCGCGCTCTGTTTACGTGAAAAAATGCACTCGTATATTTATTTAATGGGAATATTCCCTGCGCGCGACTGCTGCCGTGGCGGTATCGGCGTAGTATGCGCTTGCGCCGGTGTCCGAGAGCTCACGGAGCCGCACGACTCTGCCCGAGCTTACCCGAACGCGCCGACCTACTTATGCCCCTTTGCAACGCTCCAAGTGGTCGAGCGTGGATTTTTTCTTCATTTTCCGATGAAATGCCGTCTCAGTAACTAGGCGAAATAAAAAAAGCTACTCGTTTTCCCATATTCTTTTTATCTCACTTAGTCTTGATATAATTTTCACTATTACTAATATCGTATATTATTTTCTCGGTTACTTAGTACTGTAGCTGAATACTTTAGAGTTTTTATTAAACTTCATCATCATTTATCATTTATATTCATTACAATAACAACAACTCATTTTAGAAAAGACATTTCAACGAGCTATATACATTTATTGCAATACTCAATGATTAAAAAAAGACATTTAGTTTGTATAATAGCGTTGTTAATATAATAATTTCTTCAGTAAACCAAACTGATTTCTCACAGTCTACTATAATATAATTAATTTCGAATGCATAATACTCCTATATCTTAAAGAAATTCTATTCAATTTTAACATCTTGAAAATGTTCTTAATAACACTTTTGATTTTAATCATTAATCGCAATGATATCTATAAAACTGTAACGAAAGCTTTGATATTTTTGATTTGAACCTTCTAAAAGTTAATAATCTACTGTTGATTTAAAATGCGCAATTATATAGATAATTTTATCGACGATAATAATATCAGTAGAAATATAATTGTCTTATCATTGAAGTCTTTCAACAATTAATATATTCCAATTCCATTCTACTAAAACTGACACAAAAAATTCTCAAAACTTTGGTATAGACCAAGATAAAATATTATTTCTTATACCTTATGTAGTTATGTAAGATATGAAGAAGTAAAAACCACTCTTTTCGATTATTTAATGCTCTTAATACTATTGACGCCAACGTCCTTGTCACTTTTCTCTCAAACCTGTATGTATTTTCCCAATAATTAAATAATTCCTCGACCTATCACAATGGCCATTAAGGAATAGTACGAATAAATAACTCTAACAAATTGCGGCCTTGCTGCAAGAAAACATTTTTGATTCCTCTTTTTCTTTGATACAAATAGTAACGCCTGGAAAAGAATGTTATTCTAATAAATTCTTTAAAAGATATTTAGTATCAAATGCACATGGGAAAAAATTACACAAATAATATAAAAAAATATGCTATCACTAAAAGTAAAATCCCTACAACATGAACGGCAAGAAGTTTTTTTAGCATTTTTATTTTAAATGCTCTATCAAAACGGTGTCAACTTATACATAGTTTTATACTTCTAAGTTTTGCAAATTATATTAATTTTTAATTCTTCTATCTCTTACTACCAGTTCATTGGATCTTTAACCATTCTTAAGTATGGAGATAAAACCCACTTGCGTACACAAAGATAAAGCTATGTTAAGAACGAACGGTTGGGATGTTATGTTTACATTGTAAGCATCAGAATATTTCATTCTTTCCACTAAAACCTATATGTATATAACGAATGCACTTTCCCTCATATTAAGTATAAAATATGAGCACCACCCTCGGTTAACAGAAGCAACTAAATTCAATGGGCGGTGTATGACTTTTTATATGTGCTATAAAATGATAATGTGTATTAATTTACTTGTTGGCATTGGTAACACTGATATAATAAAATAAAGGTGATTATAAAGTAGGAGCATTATAAAGTAGGAGTATTATACGATATTAATTATAACATTTATCAATCGGTTAACTCTGGTAAAACCCTGAATGAAACAGAACGCTTTAAATATGAAAGCTTATTTCCAAGGTTGCTGCAATTGCAACAGTGACTTAGTCACGTTGCACTGCTTCGCAACAATTGCAATTATAACATGGCATTTATATACATACTATATGACTTTTTTTTTTGCACATTGTTTTATTTGGTTAGGTCATTATAATAATAAAAAAACTAAATTTAAGTTTGGATGATGCACCTACATATTTTATTTTCTATAGAATAATTAACTGCTTTCTAATTAATATTATGTGGAGTTAGATAAATAATTTTACACTCAAATGAAGGATGGTGAAAAAAAATATAAAAAAGATGAACATGTAAATTCGAACCATTTCATCGAAGCATACGAACTTTTTACTTACAACTACTATTTCTACATAGTAACAGTGTATGACCTCTCATGGACAGGAACTACAAATTGTAAAATCGTAGAATCAATGAAGCAATTTACAATTGATCGTGACGTCATACATAAATTAATAAAACAGTCAATTGAAAGCCGAAAACTAGCTTCATCTATATCTATATCCTAAGCCCGAAAAAGGTAAAGTCCCAAAATCGAAACAAATTCTCATATATTTTATCAAAGAATTGATCAAAGCTTGCAAGTCAGTTATCTAAGTGGTAATACATTGTCATAATCTGCGTCTGAGTTGGCCTCACTTAAATCTTTAAAGGATTTGCATAAGGAAAATGTGTAGACAAAATAATCAAAATCTGATCTGTCTATTATTTTATATAAGCAAAATTTGATGGATATTAATTGGATTAATTATATAATAAAAAAATATACCTATTAAATTCGATTTTTTCCTTACTAGCTATAGAATTATGAATAACAAAATTATTACTATTCTGACTGTATTGACAAAAAAATTATCAGTATGTGATAAGTTAAAATAAAACATACACAAAAAATAATAGTGATAACCCTTGTCCCTTATCGTAGTGCACCAAAAATAGATGTTGTGAGTATTTTTTATGACCGTATTAAATTGAGAAATGTATAAAGAAATATTATCTGTCTTTGAAAATGGTTAAATATCTATATAATAATAATATTTAATAATATACATCAGTGAATTGTCATAATTTAGACAACTATTTTTATACCTCGTATTAGGTAAATCTTATATGTATGGACATAATAGTTTTTATGAAATAAATATATGAAACTATATATATATATATATATATATATATATATATATATATATATATAGTTTCATATATATATATATATATATATATATATATATATATATATATATATATACATATTTATCTATAGCATACACAAGCTTAGGTCTACTTATTGAAAGCTAAAGAACCCTTGAAACTACTTCAAACTAGACATTTCGAATATAAGAAGTATTAATATAGAAAACATTTAAAAGACTGAGTAGCTGCTATGTAAAGTTAGTCTATGTTTCAAACTGAGTTACACATATTAAAATTCATTTTGAAAATCATTTTTGTCCATTCATCTAGTCTCTTCTTATCTCCCGTCAGGGGTCCTGAAACATTCTTTGTTGTCGAAGTTAGACAGAATTGCTGTAATGGCATGTTTGACCTATTTAATTTTATTTTACCAGGTATGTGCAATGGAGGGCCTATGGAGGGTTCCAGGTTAAAGTTTCTGGCTGGAGTGTTCATTCATTAACCTATACATCTACATAGCCAGGATATTGAAGGTGCTGTATGGATCAGGATCGAAAATTTTAAGTAGCCTTGTACAGTTAGTATGGCGAACTACTATTAACTTATCTAGCTATGATTTTGAGCATTGAGGCTAAGAGAGGAGTGTAATATATATTATACATTGGACATAGTGAAATTTCGGTGGAAGTCTAGAATATTATGGAAAAAATAGTATTTCTGGTCTTTGGTTGGTGATGATGTCTAGTCACACAATAAATAAATTAATAGATGGCATAATAATTTCCTTCAATAAAGTGCGACGTAATTATAAATATAACTAATTCTTTTAAATATTATATTAATTTATATATACATATATACAATAAAGTCTGCAATTCATACACATATTACGGATACTAACATATTAAAAATTAAATTAAAAAATATATGACATTCCTACTTAATAATAATATTACTAAATATAACACTTCATAAAGAACTTTAAAAAAGTCAAATTTAATTGATGTGGACGGTGATTGACATTGAAATAATTTTTATATAACAACAAATATAATATATTACTCTAATACATATATATTTAATTCCTTGTAAAATATCAACAAAGATATATTAATTACCGTGATTATATTATAATGTCTAGAACCAAACTGATTTGAATTTTAAAGGGCAACAACAAGACACCTGCGTTGAAGTGGAATATTTACATGAATATCAGCTTTAGAATATATTAATACAGTCGAATATCTCGTATAATACTAATTTATATTTAAATTGAATTATAACATTTGTTATATGCCATTTTAAGAGCATCTCATACTAAAAACATAGATCACGAGATATGTTTATTTTATTCGTGTATCCAGAACCTACCTAGTAACTATATAGATATACTCGAAGTTCCAGCAATATAATTAGACACTGACAATTTGTAAAATTAATGTATTTTAACATTTGATTTGTATTAATTATATAGCGAAGGTGTTCCATTAAATAATACTATTTTTTTCGGATATACTACACCTTTTTTATCTTACTATCATACTCCCGACGATAGATGAACTTTTATATATAAAGTGTATTCCAAAATCTTAGTTTTATTTAAATGAATACACGCGAAAAACTAAGATATCATTAAGGTGTTTAACTCTTTCAAGAAGTCGTCACAGTGGGTGGTAAGTAACGGCAGCAAGTAATAAGCAGTATTTGCGTTCAGTACATGCCTAATTAATTCTAAGAATTGTCCACATGTTTGTTCAAATAACAGTTTGATTGATCGAGACGTGCGATAAAAGAACCAATATGTTCTCAAATAAAACACGGTCGTTTTTATTACGTAAACAGATACGGTTACACCTCAGATATATTTAGAATTTAAATATTACTTAAGAGCTTTTTATAAAATTAATAAGTAATAGCGATATTAGTAGAAAACTATACCTATACAAAACTTCTAGTCTTATGTTTTGATAGATAAATTAATAGGTATGTCTTGATGTTAGAAGAAAAAGATTGTTAATAAAACAAAGCTGAATAGACCTTCTTATCGCAATTTTTTAATGATCAATTAACATTCAATTCTTTATTTTGTGGCCCTTATTGTCTAAAGTATCCGTTGTATATTCCGATAATACATATTACATAGATTTCTATCTGGTAAATACAATTCATTGTAATCCAAACCAAATTGATGAAAAAATTAGCTTGGT